AAAAGTTATAGTTCTAGTTGAGTCGCCTTTTGCCCTTATAATATCAATCTATACTGAGGTTTTATTAACAATTATTTTAGTATTCCTACTTTGACCGGAAAATATTAAAATGAAATAGGCAATCCCACCAAAAACATTTTTGTGTAAAATGTTACCAAGACGAGACCATAGACCTCACACTGTCGAAAAGTTTTCAGATCTCATGTAGAGCCAAGCTTCTAACTCTACAAGCGCTGACTCTACAAGCCCTAACTTCTTAGTTAAAATATGTAGCTTGGCAGATAAGTGTCATGGTTAAGAGCAGATTTTTTAAATCAAAACTCAAAAGATTAATTACTCAAAATATATACTACTACTTTCACTATTTACTAAGTTGATTATTTTGAGATTTGATTGAAATATTTATAACTAAGCTTTATATGTTATTATTTATTAATATTTTCATTTGCCTCTGTTTCGTTTATGGGGACATGACAGGACGTTATTACATGTACTTAACCTCCATGACCAAATATCGACTTTCCAATCGGTTTAGGCCAATACCATATTTGTAATATGAAGTTTCTGATCGTAAAAGATTATATTATTTATGTTACTTAAATAAAATAAAAAAATTGAAATATATAACAACCTGAGTATTAATCGACAGGACGAGTTGGAAGATAGGCCCAGGGCGGCTACTTTTCTTACGTCGCTGGCCAACTACTCAAACACAATCCCGACAGCTGACGACCCGGATGTTAAACCAGTACCGCCTGCACGTATGGGCACGCTCATTGGTGTCTACCTGCCCTGCATCCAGAACATCTTCGGCGTCATCCTCTTCATCCGTCTGACATGGGTGGTCGGTACCGCCGGGGCTATACAAGGATTCCTAATCGTGCTTACTTGCTGTTGTACGGTAAGTTTAGTTGTTTTATAAAATAAATAAATAAAATCAGTCTGAGCAGTCAGTCTGACACTAATTGAATGTCTACATGGTTTACACTAATTAAACTCACGCTAGTATGTTAACTGCATTGTAAAGAATAAAAATAATAAAAATCATTTATCTCACACAGATAATCCTCCCTGTTCAGCCTAAAATAAAGAAATCGCCTTCAGATTACATTATTGTTGCTCGTACCTACATTGAATTTCCCCGGGGCCTGTCCGAGCTCGCTTCTACACCTACATCGATGGAAGCGTGTCAAATATTAGTCAATCCCTACAACTTCTAATTTTAACTTCCCGAGGGCTTATTAAATCTTCTAGACACTAACAACATTAGCCTCGCTAATTGGATTATTATATTTGAAACCACGTGAAACCTATTTAATAAATTCTAAACTTGTTCATTGGCTTATTCCGCTGACCTTTACAGGTTTTTGCTGGACTAGTAATTTAATCTCGGCAACCTTATTCCTCCCTCAGAAAGTTAATAATAGTCAAGGTTGCTGTGTTTGACTACGTGTTCCTTTCTAAGTCTGCAGAGAGCACTCAAATTTTTTACCTAAAGTCGTTAATAAAAGAGCGGACGCACGAAGATTTACCTATTAAAATAAAAAAGCGTTTGAGGTACTCTAACTTTTACTTTAGATTTAGACTAATTTTGACTTTAGATCGCTTCAGTATAGATATAACTACGAGTATATACATATAGGTATAAATTTCTTACATACAACTTTCCTCTAACGTCGACGCTTTACAATGTGTAAGGAGCTTTCTGATTCAGATATAAAGCTAGTGAATTGTTTGGCAGACTATGCTTACGGCGATATCGATGTCTGCGATCGCGACAAACGGCGTGGTGCCGGCGGGCGGCTCGTACTTCATGATCGGGCGCGCGCTTGGCCCCGAGTGCGGCGGTGCGGTCGGGATGCTATTCTATACAGGCACCACGCTAGCTGCTGCAATGTACATCGTCGGAGCTGTCGAAATTGTTTTGGTCAGTAATCATTTATCTAAAAATTTCCCCACCGTCACACACTGTCAATATTTTACTAGGAGGTTTCAAATGTACACACAGAAGGAAGTGTCCCTTGCCTAAGAAGCACCTGTGAAAAACTAAAATTGCTTGGTATCAATAGTCCATATGGAAATGAAGTATGGCAAGCTATGAGAGAAGGAAAACTTGAAACAAACCCTTTTTTTTTTTTTTTTTTTTTTTTAACGTGTGGAAATCCCCTCGGACCGTCACCCCTCCGGGGTTTGCGGCGGGGTGGTGTGTCGGCCTCGGACCGACTAAAACCCACACGGTGTGCCACTCTGCGCCTGTAACAGGAGGGATCCGGGAACAGCTGTTGTTAAGACATCCGGACCCCTCCTAGCGCCAGCCCGCTCCTGGTGCGGGCTCCGTCTCAATGTGGATGTTCCTCTCTTTAGGCGACGTCCGGCACACGCGGACGCCGCCCCCTCGCGGCTGGCCAAAACTAATGCGGGTGGAGGGGGAAACCCACCCCGTCCACCCGCGGCCACACTCAGGGCGACATGAGGCTGTGGTAGGCGGGCCTCCGCCGCCCGGTTCGCCGGCGGCGGATCGGGTCCGAGTGGAGGTCGTCCTCCCGGGCCCTCTCCGCCGCCTCCTTCCGCGAGATTACTACCTCGCAGAAGGTTGCGACCGCGGTAAAAACAACTGTCGCTACCGGCCATGGAGCGTACTACGGCCGGTAGCGAGAGATCCACTCCGATGACTGCAGTGAGGGCCCGGCGCTGCGCCGCCCATGCGGGGCAGACCGCCAGCGTGTGCTGGGCCGAGTCCTCACTGCAGTCGCAGTGGTGGCAGGCGGGACTCAGTTCCCTCCTTGCGACCGTGTGCAGGTACTTTCCGAAGCAACCGTGCCCGGAAAGCACCTGCGTCAGCCGGAAGGAAAGGGTCCCGTGCTGCCGCCCTGCCCACTCGGCGATGACCGGCTGGAGAGCCTCCACGGCGGCGAAGCCAGCGCGTGGAGTCTCCAGCCGGAACGACCAACGAGCCATCGTGGCTCGGCGAGCGGCTTCGCGCCACTCGCGCACATCCTCGGGCGGAGGGCGAAATCCGCTCTCCGCCCGGTAGTCAGCCACTCGCCGATAAACTTCGGCGAGCACTTCCGCCTCCAAATCCCACGGGGGAGGTCCGGCCAACGCGCACGCCACCTCCGTCGAAACGGTGCGGTAACCGCGTATGGCTCTGACCGCCATTACCCTCTGAGGGCGCCAGAGGCGTACCCTATTCTGGGCGGTCAGAGCCGCCGCCCACACCGGTGCACCGTACAGTGCCATTGACCGGACAACCCCCGTGTACAGCCGTCTTGTCGCGACGCTGGGTCCACCCATATTGGGCAAGAGTCGCCCTAGGGCAGACGCAGCGCCGACCAGCTTTGGAGCAAGCTGTCGGAAGTGCTCGTCGAAGAGCCACCTCCCGTCGAGGATCAGGCCCAGATATTTCATCTGGGCCCGAACCGGTACGAGGACCGAGTTGACCACGATTGAGGCGCCAGGGGGTGGACCACGACGGGGCCCATGGAATAACAGGGCCTCCGTCTTATCTAGGGCCACCCCGTAAGCCCAGCGCCTCAATGCGCCCGACCACCAGGGAGACTCCCCCTGTGGCCAGGCGCGCCGCCTCTTGGAAGTTTGCCCCCCGGGCCGTAACCAGTGTATCGTCTGCGTAACAGATTACACCCAGCCCGGGGGGGAAATCGGCGCGAAGGGCCCAGTCGTACCCTATGTTCCACAAGAGGGGTCCAAGAACAGACCCCTGTGGAACACCGCACGACATGGGCCGACACCTCAAATTACCTTCTCGGTCCTCGTACACGACGGTACGCTCCTCTAAATAGTCTGCCACTAGCCGCCTCAGGTACTTTGGCACCCCATGATAGTGGAGTGCTTCCCTGATGCAGCTGAATGGCAGACTATTGAATGCGTTGGCGATGTCCAGTGACACCGCCAACAGCACGCCGGACACAGCTCACGGCCTCTTCGGTCACGGCCCTCAGGCGCAACACGGCGTCGACCGTCGAACGCCCCGCCCGAAAACCAAATTGGGCGTCCGACAGATCGGGGCCCACCTCGCAGAGGTGCCGGACGATGCGGGCAGAAAGAACCCTCTCAAACAATTTGCCCGCCTCGTCCAGCAGCACGATGGGCCTATAGGCCGCGACCGAATCGGCAGGCCGTCCCGGCTTCCTCAATAGGACCAGCTTCCCGCTCTTCCAGCACTCAGGGAAGCGTCCCGACGCCAAGCTAGCGTCGAACACCTCCCCGAGGCGGTTTGCCATGTGGTTGAGGGCCAGGGCCAGCACTCGGGCCGGTACCCCGTCTGGCCCAGGGGCGGTGTTCTTGGAACGGATCCGTAGAACAGCCGCCCCTACCTCCGATTCCCGGACGGGCGGAACATTATCCTCCCCGTGCTCCCCGTCGTCTCCGGCCAAGGAGGCCATCGACGGGGGAGTGTGTTCCGCCCGTTGTGGGAAAAGGCCCTCAACCACTTCTCGCAGGAAGCTGGGCTGGAGAGTCTCCGTAAGGGGGGGGGCCCGACGCGCGGAGCTTTTGTCTCACCGCGCGGTAAGGGCGACCCCAGGGGTCACGATTAAGACCCTCCAGCATCTCCTGTCTTTTTTCTTCTTTGGCGCGGCTAATGGCCAGCTTCAGAGTTTTCCGCGCCCGTCGGTACTCCTCATGAAGCCGGTCCTCCTCACCGTCTCCACGGTGACGCCGCCGACTGCGCGTGTAGGACCTCCGGGCACGTGTACAGGCCGCACGGAGGTCCGCCAGCTCCTGGGACCACCAGTAGACCTCCTTCCTTGGAGGCCGACGACCTCGAACGCGGGGCATGGCCGCATCGCATACATGCGTAATCGCATCGCGAAAGCGGCCAGCCCCCACGTCAACCTCCTCGGTCGGAGCCTGAGGAGACAGCCACGAGTGAATTATGGCTGCCTCCTCTAGTAGGTCCCGGTTCAGCCTGGCAACAGCCCACCGCGGAAAGCGGGATAAACGCCGCGCCACGTGACCCCTACTGGAGTCCTGGGTCCGGGAGAGCTCAAATCGGATATACAGGTGATCCGAGAGCGTCTCAACCTCTTCCAGGACACGCCAGTTCCTTACTCGTGCGGCGAGGGCAGGGGTAGCGAACGAGAGGTCCACTATCGACCCCCCCTGCTGTCGCACGCACGTGTTGGTGGAGCCTCTGTTTAGAAGACAGAGGCCCACCGAGGCCGCCCACTCCTCTACGGCCTCGCCCCTGGCGTCCGTCCTGGGGGAACCCCACGCAATGGACTTTGCGTTGAAGTCCCCCAGCACAAGGACGTGCCCAGACGCTAGTCGCCGTATCGAGGTCTCCAAGCTGGTTAGGAAAACCTCGAAGTCGTTCAAACTCCGGTTGGGGGAGAAATAGACACCATATATGGTGATCCCCCCCCACTCGACGGCAACATATCCAGTGCCCTTGTCTCTTAGCGACAAGGGCGGGGAATGAGCCGTCGTGGAACCGACGACTGCCACGGAGCCGTCCCAGTCACCCATCCAGTTTGGACGGGGAGGGACAGAATAGGGCTCCGCGACTACGGCAACACCTATCGACCACTCTGCCATGGTCTGCAGGAAGAGATCCTGCGCCGCGGCACAGTGGTTCAGGTTCGTCTGGACCAGGAGGTTGGAGACTTGATCCATTACTGGATCGTCTCTACAACCTCCTCCATGACGCACGTACTACGTCGGAGGCAGCCTGGGTCGACTGGCTAGCCCCTGACGTCTGCCGAGAACTGCGGGGAGGCTTGCAGCCTCTCTGCCCCATCTGGTGATTGCGGGCTTATTGCCCGCCGCACACGCTGGGCAGTGAGGGGCGGCAGAGCATTCTGCCGCCTTATGCCCCGGTTGACCGCAGCGGAAACACAGTCCGCCGCAGTCAAAACAACTGTCGCACTTGACGCGCGTGTGTCCCGTGGCCAGGCATTTAAAACACCTCATCGGTCTCGCCGCCAGGACTGTGATCCTGGCGCTCACGAAACCGATGAGCAGCCTGCCGGCGTCGGCCAATACTTTGGCCGACGCTACGGGACAGCTGACCCACACGGCGCCAAGCCCTCCTGGACCGGCAGCCTCCAGGCTTTTGGCAGCCTTTTTGGCCCGCCTTCGGGACTTCTTGGAGCCCCTCGCCTCCTGCCAACCCTCGTTGGAGGGGGCAGGTGCGGAGGGGCCAGGCAGGGGTGTCGGAGTGGGGGAGCGGAGGGAATGCCACTCCGCTCCTCGGCGCTGTTTTAGGCCCCGTCTTGGCCGGCGCCTGGAGATGTGCCTTGGCCGGCGCCTTAGCCGGTGCCTTGGCCGGCGCCTGGGCCTGTGTCTTGGCCCCCCTCCTCGGCTTTTGTGGAGCCGATGGAGTAGGGGCAGACGCCGCCGCCGCGTAAGAAACGCGGCCGCCCACAACGGGGAGCGCGGTCGGAGCGGCGGCCTTAGGCCGCTGTGCCGACGCGAGCGGGGGGCGCATAATCGGCGCAGGGGGCAGTCTCGCCTCCAGGCCAGCCAGGCGTCCGTCCAGCATATTCCCAACTGCGATGAGGATTTCTCGCAGTTGGGAGTCAAATGCCCCTGAGTTAGTGGTAGGGGCAGGCTGGGACGCGGACGGGGCTTCCCGCTCGGGGAGGTTCGCCTGGAAGCGGGCGAACTGAGCGCTCAGCTCGTTCACCTCGCTCCGTCAGCTTCTCGTTGGCCACCTGTAGGCGCGATACGTCGCCCACTAGGCCCTCCACGACCTCCGACAAAGCGGAGGAGGAGTCCCTTAAGGGCCCTAAACAAACCCTATACCAACCCGTCTGGCCAGCGTGTTATAGTAGGCCAAAACCTCCTTTCTAAGGAGAGGCCTATGTTCAGCAGTGGACTGTTATAGGCTGTTGATGATTGATGAAGCTAAAAATTGTTAGCTTTGTAAGCAGAGAATCACTGCGCCGTAAGGATGCCGATGAATCTAGTTAAGTAGTATGTTGGAACTAATTTCAATTTGATATGTACAATAATGTATATACGATGTAAACGCAGGGAAAACATGATAGTGCAAAACTCCACCGTCAGCTCATAAATAATATGTATAATCATGTACAACTGCCAGAAGATTTATAATTGATAAGAACTATATTACATATT